ATGTACAACCACTGGGAGTGTTCCCCCCCAACCTCCCAACTAATATATGATTAGAACACCAGTGGAGAACACATCTGCACCCGGTGCGGCGGTGGGCAGTGCACCTCCAGGACCCCACCCGCTACCATCGGCCCAATCGCCCGGTCACCGGCCTCGCAGGGTTGGAATGCCCACGTGTTCCCGGTAGACATACCAAGTGTCGGGCTTTGGGCACAGGTCCTTCGCACGACACGGGCGGCGCATGGTCATGGGGCACGGGGGCGAGAGCTCGGATCGAAATGGAGGATCCTTTTTTTGGTGAAGGTATGGGCAACGACCTTCGGAAGGACAATGATGACATTGTAAATGTGGATATGAAGGAATATGGAACCAATAGCAACTGGTTCAGCTTGCTAGTGGTTTGCACCCACAATGCTTTCCAAGCGACTATGAGGCTACCAGCACGGCCTCTGGCTGCGCAACATGGACCTCAAAATCGCTGGTGTGCAGCAGGCACTTTACGAATAGTAATCGAAACTCCTTTTGGCAAATCCGCGATAGTGCAATGTTTTTCATGTAGCATGACTGAGCTGGACGATGAGTCAGGATTCTGCAGGAAACCCAGCTGGGTTCCCTTCGATGCAGTCTTTCTGGTTGCTGAACCTTCGCCATTCAACCTTCCCAACATCACGAAACGCCCGACCGATCGACCGACCAGGTTCGCCTGAGGTCGCAGGTGAGGAAGATGTGTTGGCCGGACACATGGCTGGAACGTGGCCTGGGGCGTGAGAATCTCCAATTATAGTGGGGAAACATGCTTCAGGTAGTGCAATTCTTTGTGATTTCAACATATTTAGACAGTCTGAGTCTCGTCCGCCACAGTTATATATCATCAATTATGAAGGTCACATAATTGGATGAACATGGATGAACTCATCAACACTCACGCAAACGGCATTGTGGCATACCACATGACTTTGGCCTGCAGGCATTTTCTGCTTGGACCAGTGTCACTATATAAAATCGTTTGCCGAGTCTGAGCATGATCCAAACCCATGTGCCTGCACTGCTGATTGGGGGGCATAGGAGCACTTGTAGCAGCCTGCCTAGGGAGAAACATCCGTGCAATGAATATACATAATTGAGGCCAAGTCAAGAGCAAGAGAATTTCCGTGCAAGTCAATGCAAAGTTCCGTGTAGGTTTATAGGTCGCAGGAAACTGCGCGGCGTCACAACCCTCATTCCGCCAAGTGTCCATGCTTCTGGGTGGCTGTGTGGAGAGCTCAAAGATGAGTCAAATACAAGAGTCCAATTATAGAAACCTGGACGTGTTTGGGTGCAGCGGATTCTGCCAAGATGCTGGCCCCAAATACCAGTAGGGGCTCCTCACGATCCGAATGGGCTCAAAGAACATCATCAAATGCATACACTGGGCACCATAAAATATCGGGACCTAATAGCAAAAGGAACTAAAGGAACCTCTATACTATAGCGATGGCCTACACCCTTAGACGTGATGGCCTCCAACCTAATAGCCAACGCTCTGCTGGACCTCTCTTTTTGGCTCCCTGTCTCTGTCATCACCCTCCTCTTCAAGGAGGCGAATCAAAGCTGATGGCTAGAAACACTCTCTACACGCAAACATTGCTGGGCACAAGCGGACAGCAGCCTCGAAGTGTCGAAGATTTCCCTTTGTTTCATTGGATAGTGAGCTGGACGTGTTTGAACAAACACTATTTCGACTATTTCTGTATCTAGCTACTGTATCCTAACTCTAAGATATAGCATCCCGGGAAAGCGAACTATCGGGCCTGAGGCCGTACCTTTGCACATCCAGATCGAGCCATCAATGTAGTTGAATTTCACTCTGCCTGGCCAGAGTCCCGACCAAATCCACTGGCAGCAGGATGAGGTGCTTTTTGCGATCAAAGGTCGAAAAGGAGTACGCAATTCTGGCCTCAAATCATGCTTATTGGTGCCTTAATTACAACATTCCGGAAACACAAAACAACAAACCCTTAATTTCCTGATGTGTGGACGAATGGGGTGTCGACCTTCGAAAAAAGGGCTCTGTTCAACCTCCTCTGCCGCTCTCCGATGGCCTCGGGGGATCTGCCACTCCTGCGACCAATCCCGAATGACGCCATCAATGTCCACGTTTTCTGCGCACAGCTTTCCAATCTCCTGCGACGTGGGTTGACCTTCACATGTCCACCTGAAAACAGGAAGCGGTTGTTGAACCGGTTTTTTCGTGGGTTGAGAGTTGCCAGTCAGTCTACATCTTGGAGAATGCCGCTGAATTGCAAGAAACTCCTCCAGCTGGGCGCCTAGGCACCTCTGCGCAACTCATAGGGTATCAAGAACCGAGGAAAGCCAGCTTCATGTCAACCCATGTGAACACCAAGACCTTTTTCCGATCACTTCTAGCCAAGCGCATGGCTAAAACTGGGAAGAAACCCTATCCTACTGGCTCTTTAGAGGATAGAGACTGTTCTGCCACAATGGGTTTCCACCAGGAATCTCAAAAAAACCCTAACATGTGCCATGCGCCCGAGCGACATAGGGGATCTGAACGGTTCTCCCCAGTTTCCCATTCGCGCTCTCTCTCTCTCGCTCTCTCTCTCTCTCTCTGTGTCCCTATCTTCGCACCTTGAAGTGAGTGGGCGCCACCAGGTGGATTGCCCAATTGGAGGGCGGTCCAGCCCCGGCTCTTTGGCAAACCAGGCAGTGGTCGATATGCACCGCACGCCTTGGGATGGCACGAGCCCTTGGCTTGATGGGATTCCTATTTTGCCATCGACATCCATGCGATGCGCACCCCAGCGGGGTGGAAAGTTCAGTCTGGAGTGGCTTTCGTTTGCTTTTGGTCGTTTGTGTGTTCCACCAACGCTCTGGGCCGCAACACACATGGCCAACGTCCATAGGGTTCTGACGAAGGATGACCGTCCCAAGATTGACCACCACTTGAGATGGACATGGTGCGGCTATCAATTTCAGGTGGCAGTGACACCAAACATTCTGTACCCGCGCAGTCATCAAAGGTTCAGTTGCCCCTATAGCCTATGGTTCCAGTGTGACATAGTAACACGGTTGATTCCACAATGATTGAAAACACTGCCCTGACGCGTAGCATTTAGCCAAAACGGTGTAGCCTGTTCTATGGCTTGCTTCGCCAGCCGGAACTGCCCGACGTTTTTTGCCTTGAAAGAGTAGGGAGCCGGGCGAACCTCCACCTGGACTTGGGGTCCATCACATTTTCCTATGCTAGAAGACAAACAGCAATATATTAATATACATATATATGTATATATATTATGTACTTATAATGACTGAGTGGCTGTGCACACATCTTGTGTTGTACAATGACTTTCATGTATGATTGACAGGTGGCAAGTAACATGCTTCACATTCTTCAACCCTTCCAGTGTGCAAACCAGGGTGTTGCAAAAGAGCGCTTCTGTTCAACAAAGCTGCTCACTTCAAACATTCACCCGGTGATCAACTACCACACGGCCCAGGCCCCAACTCTCCTTGTACAAAAACGTTCACCATCCAGGTGTCGAAACAATGAAGTCAACACCAAAAAACAAGCTGCCCGGAGCCACCGGAGCCACCCGGCCGACCCATGCCCAGCTGCTTCTGCAAATAGGTGTCCAGAAGCTGTGCTCGAAGTCCCATGCCCCGCTTCCAGGCGTCCTGACGAAAGGACTCGAGGACCGCGAGATCCGCGGATGGCGAGTGGACCGGAAGGAACGTAGCCCTGGACCGCTGACCGCGCGGCGATTCCCGAGGAGATGGGAAGACGTGGGAAGATCTCTTAGTTGAGTAACTCATGGTTCAATTCCTGGACTTCTGTTTGGGGCATGGTATTTCAGAAGAACAGCTGAATAGGTGCACCTAGTAAGGAACTACCAACAGCCAATGTTCATCGGCATGTTGAATCGGAAGGTGCAGCATCATGGCAGGTTTTTGCAGCCATCAGATTCTACCATCACATGGGGCCTTTCAAATCAACGCCCTTTGGAACGGCTGTCGCTGCTGCTGGTGCCTGCATAGATGTATAACATCGTATAACTCTCAGACGGACTTTCAGGGTGCCTTGCCGGCAACCACCAAATGGCCTGAAGATTATAAGCTTCCTTTCCCGGTGGAAGATGTCTTGCTCACGTGTCACTTTTTGAGCATCGCCAAGGTCGTTTGTACAGAACGATGCAGCTGTTCAGCAGCCATCTTGGCTGCCGCGAATCTGAATGTCTCAAGGACTTGGGGGCTCTGGGATGCTCTGGGGCCAGTTCCGTGATTTCACCTGGTCTACACTGCACACCAACATGAAAAGAATCGCCTACCACTTGAGATGCATGGTTTGCTTGAGACCCATTCTTCGACCCACGGTCACCTCCTTGCAGGTCACTGGCAAGTAGCGAGATCTAGACACTGAAACTGCAGAAACCTCACCCTCCAATCTCCCACCTCAGTTTCAATGTGCAAGGAAGAATCACCAGTCCTCTGAAGGCCGTAGCTGCTACACAATCCACATCTCAACATGTCCATGCCACGCCGGCAATGACTTCCAGGTCGTTTGGCCACATCACAGGTCCCCCCCCTTAAGAGATACATCCAGGTGGCGAGATGTTCGCACTCAAAATTCAACTCGGTTGGTCGACGGTCCAGGAGCTTCCAGCTTTGCGATTCGCAGCTTCACAGTTTTGACCCCAATGCCGAAGATGGAAGCTGGATCCATGAAGATTCACCGAAGGTGTGTTGGCTACTTCTGTACCAAGTCACGTGCTGCAATGTTATGTTAGATATATATATATATAGATATAGATAGATGAATCAATCTTCATGGCAACCTGGTCATCCACCATTCATGTGGTTGCCTACTTAAAGAAGAACCGACGCTATGAAGCACAAAAAGACCGGGAAGCTCCCAGTTGTCTCAGGCGCCTCCCAGCCGTGAGGAATGGGCATCTGCCAGCTGTAGCAGGGCGTGCACAGCCAACGACACGCCATCCGTGGCACTAAAGGATGCGGCGTACTTCCTGGGATTTGGCTTTGCAAAAAGGGGCCGAACGGGACGAATGTCCGAACACATCCGCAGCGTATTGAGATGATTGGATCATTTTTTTACGACGTGGCGGTGGTCGTTTCAAGGCACAAAGAACACAATGAACAACACACCCTCTCTGAATCAGGTCTGGTATCATGGCCATCTCCTTGAAGCTTGGTTCACTCTTCACTTTCCTCAAGGCACCAGCTGTGGCACTACGATACCTTGCAATCGCATCTGCAGCTTCTTCCAAAGGCCCCATCGGGCGGTCAACTTTCAATCCTGGACGAATGACGCCCACAAAAGTGGCATCGTGACAAGAGGAGTGTTAAACAAATACCAGCAAATCCAGCAAACAAGAAACAAAAGCTGCCCAAACAAGTGATGTTCACACCTTGAAAACGCCATGCCCATGGACGATTAGCCGATTAGCCATGCCCATGCCAGGCCGGTGGTCCCACGGCACCGTTCCCCCGGTCCTATTCCCAAGGCCTCAGCCTTTGCCGCATTGACTGGTTGATCCGCGAAGCCAGGGCAAACCACCAAGGGACAACCTTGTGACAAAGCTTCCATAAAGCTGTTTTGACCGCCATGAGTGAGGAAAAGCTCCACGCCAAGTCTAAGCAAGTCCACTTGAGGAAGCGTGGGGCTGCAGAACACATTCGCCTCATGGCTTAGAACTGTCTGCACGAACCAACGATACAGGAGGGGTCTGTGGAGAACAAGGGGGCTCCACAATTCAAATACAATGCAAAATAAGCAAAAAACTCAGGCTGAACAGCAACTATCTGAGCGAGATGTGCCCCTTTGGGCCCTTTGCCCTCGAAACCCACAAGATCAGCCGTCAGGAACTGCGAGCATGAGGGCTGTGCCCTTCCCATCCTTCCCTTCCCAACCTCTTGAGAACGCTAGGTGGCTGGAATCTCCAAGGCCTCCAAAGCATCAGCCTGTGGCCCCTGCGCCAGTAAAACGAGCGCCTCTCCCGTGCCAAAGACATCAAAGACTCCTTGCCAGGCAGCATGGCAAAGCCTACAGTAGCTGGTTCGCCAGCTGTGTTTCGTCGATCGGGGTCCCAACTTTTGTGGTGTGTGTGTCACCTAGATGCATAGGGCAATGGCATATGATGCGGAGTATCTCAATCCTTGTGACAAACTAGAGCTAACAAACCCAACATCCAAAAACATGCAACGAGCCAAGAATACATCGCCCAGCAACTCTTTCCCTGAGATACCTCGCTTCTCTCCATCGACGGTGAAATGTGCATTCCAACCATAGTCCGAGTGGTCGCCGGTGATAATTGTGCCGAGACTTACCTGTGCCGGTGGCCAAGAGAACCAACCTCCCAGCCCGCGCCTCTTTCCAAGAAATCAACATACAATAACATACATAGATGGTACTGTATAGATGAGCTCATATGAGCTCTGACCGAACACCACTTGGCAAGAGGGCAGTAATCTTCCAGGAGTTCATGAAAATCGCCACTGCTGGGGAACTGGACCACAGAACTGAACACCAAGAAGTTGGAAAGGTCTAACATGGTCTAACCATCTGTTGTTCAAAAGCTCGTGGGCGTCCTCTACCTGTACGATGCGGCCCAATAGTCGAGCCTGGCTCAAGGGGCATAGATGGATCCCCTGCTCACCCGCCAGCCCAGCCAAAAAGAAGCACACCCAGTCCAAAGCTTCCAACACTCAAGTACAAAAGAACTAATCCATGTGTGTCTGGACGGATGGATGGATGGATGGATGGACGGATTTCAATGACAGATTCTATGACTCTCCACCTTTTCTCCACATTCCCCCAGCAACCAACCCTCCACCCTTCGCCCTAGCCAGCGGCCAGCACAATGGCTCGCCCATCTGCCCGGGCAGCTTCTGCCAAAGCCATCGCTCTTTGCTCCAAAAACGGAGTCAACTCCTCTTTCTTCGTCCGCTGAGCACACACTGCGGCTGCGTTCACTGCGTCGACCTTGAAGTTGGACACACGCTTCGCACCAGGGCGGTCCAACAAGGGGCCGACATACCTGAGCTTCAGGGCGCCACTTTTGGCGACGTCTGACCCTCAATGTCTGAAGCTACAAACTTCCGTCCTTGCATGTCCTTGCCATATTTGTTTTGGAAAGCGCGACTTTTCTTGATCAAGCATGATACAAATGATCCCATCAATCAGCACTGGCAACTCTCCACACCCAAAAGGCACTCGTTGGCTACCTGGGCAAGGAATATCTTCCGAATTGAACATGCCGAGGGTCGTTGTTCATAACCCTCTCAACTGCACGGTCCGTTGCCCTATTCTTTTCAAAGCAGCTGTGCGTGGTATCTCTTTCCCTTTCAGCGATTGGATTCTGTTTGGTTCCATCTGGTCTTCATATCGGTTTTTGATGTGTTCCAAGAACAATTCTCTTACACAAAGCACCAGCTTGTCCACTTGATGATTCTCCAAACCAGTGACGAAAAGTGATGACCAGCATATGCTTCTCGCAGCTCTGCCGGACAGGGATCCGCCAAGAAGTCCAAGGTGGTCACGAGGGTCATCTGGGACAGCAAGCAACTTCGTAGAAGGCCAAGTGGTTTCAGCGTGTCCTCCACATGAAGCTCAAGCCCATAGACCCTCTTCAAACGTGCCAAGCAATCAAAGAGTCCTCCAGGGTTGGTGAGGTAGAAAGCTTGGTTTGATCTTTATAATGTGATTGCCATGGATTTGCCTGAGCATCTGCCGAACGCAAAGAGGACTTCTAATCCCGAGTCCTTGAAATTGAGATCGCTCTTCTAGAAGCTCCTCGGCGGTCAAGCCCAAAGCCCTCAAAATGTTTTCCCAAAAGAGCTTCGCACTGCCTGGCCCTGCCGTCGTCAGCAAAGGCACGCATGGCACTTGGACCACCTTGGCCGCCAAGGGCGCTTCCAAGTTGACGATGGGGCAACACACCACCAGGTCAGCGCAGATCTCCCGTAGCCAGCGAAGGGTCCCAGGCAGCTTGAGTTCAACCGCCAACTCATGAAGCATGAGCCTCGCACAAATAAAAAACCGCTGAGTTGCTGAGGGTAGAAACTCTTTGGAACAATGAGGGAGTCAAGCGAACTGTAGGCCGTGGAAACCCCTCCGTGGATCCAGATTGCCAGAATCAAGTGCTATCAAGCTTGATGGATCCCACTTGTAGGAGTGTGTGGTCTTAAAACCACGTTCCCTGACACTCTTTTGACTTGATTTCTTTGGAATCAGGAAGTGTTGGGGCAGCCCTTGACCTTCCCATTCTATAGACAGGTATTGGATCATCAGATTATCAAGCACTCCAGGTGACACTCTAGATTCTAGGTGATATCTACTCTGTCTTAGGTCATGCTACTATGGCTATGTCCGTTCTAGGTGCGTGGTTGTTTCCTATCAGGGTTGAGTAGTGGATGGTACAGTGAGGGGATGACACGCACATTGCCTGCTACAAGAAGCTACTTGATGTTCTGTGACTGATTGTGGTTCGACTGACGAACTCATCAACCTCTATCTGTTTGCTTTCTAACAGGGTTGGATGTCATCATCCTAGCTCTATAAATCCTTTCCTGGCCAACCCAGTTTACCCCACATGACAAGTCTCTCAAGGTATGAACTTCGTAAAGGGACAAACAATACCCGATCATTCTCGCAGAATTTGCTTGATGTATGCTACAAGTATGTGTAATAGGTATATAGGAAGCTCTCCAGCCCTGAAAATCAAACGCAAACATCAGTTGAGGGTTGAGGAATGAGGCCAAGGCTATTAAGAGCGATGGCCTCCAACCTAAGAGCGATGGCCTCCAACCTAGGAGCGGGGGCCTCCAACCTAAAACTGATGGCCTCCAATCTAAGATCGATTGCCTAAAACCGATGGCCCCCAACCTAAAGCCGATGGCCTCCAACCCAAGAGCGATGGCCTCCAACCTAAGAGCGATGGCCTCCAACCTAACCGTGATGTCCTCCAACCTAAGAGCGATGCCCTCCAACCTAACCGCGATGTCCTCCAACCCAAGAGCGAGGGCCTCCGACCTAAGAGCCATGGCCTCCAACCTAAAATCGATGGCCGCCAACCTGTACTTGGAGCAATCTTCCAATTTTGAGAAACACCCCGGTCGCGTCGTCGGCGTCGCCCAGCGTCGCGTCAAGGCACCGTCCCTTTGACAAACTCTCATTCGTCATGCCGTGCTCCTCTTGCAGCGACTCTATTGCCCCGTACCTGCTGGGCCACCGTGTGAGTTCCACGGATTTGTGTACTTTGTGTGCTGGGAATCTTGAAAACATAGCGAGATGAAGGACATCACCAAAACGAAACACAGGCATTGAAAAAACAATCTAACAGATTTATCAGCTATATATAATGGTATAATAACATTATGTATTATAGATCAGATCTACTATGACGAGATGAAACAAAATGAAGCAAACACATTGTCAATGCCAAATGACAGAGATGGCTTGCGGTTTTGGTAGAGCTCAAGCTGTACCTCATAGTCATTGTGATATCTAGCGCCAGTATCTTCAATGGCTTCCCTCATCTGTTCTCGGCACAAGTAGTGAACCGCATGTCCCTGGCTGACCAGTGCACGAGCGATGGGCAAAGAGGGATTCAGATGGCCAGACTGCATGGGAAAAAATGAACGCAAAGCTGTATCTCTTGCGGCCATCGGCCATGTTTCTGCTGTGCCCCAAGGCTCTCTCGGGTCTCGCCACAACTCCTTGAGCCGACCCCCGACCTTGTGTTCAGCATTGCCTTCATGCTCACATGATATGCACAAAGATGTGCAAAGTATAGAGGCGTTACCAACGGTGCCTCAGTAGCCCAACCAAATGGTTCCGGCAATGCACCAAGTTTGACCCTCAACTGCCCTCGACCCAACCTCCGACAGCTGTGATCAGCGAGACATCAAGTACGTACGTGGCACCACAGAGCTCTACCACCACATGTCACTACAACATGCACCTCACGAAAGTGCACTTGAAATCCGGCCGGGCCCACATCTTCTTAGGCCAAAAATCCACTTCAAAGCCGATTCGGGTCTTCCACCCAACGCCAGTCGCCTCCGCTTCGGGGACTTTCCCTCTCCCTGCGTGCGTACCTATCCCACGCAAACCACGGCATCGCAAACGGCGTCGTAGTCGTAGCAAGACCCGCTCCTTGGAGCTCAGGTGCGGCAAGACTCGCCAATCGCCCTGGGCAGCTGTACGCTCCGAGACCGCTCCCTTGACGATGACCCAGCCGCTCTCCTGGCGGAGAAGGGCCCCATAACAAGAAGGGGATGAGGCATGGATCCAGGCGCCTGGATAAGGCCCTTCTTGGGTGTGGATCGTGGGGATGATGCATGATTGAAAAAAGGAGAGGGTGTAGGACACCCAGGTGTAGCGCATCAAGAATGGTGTCGAACACCTGATCACCTGATCACTTCGTGGATTTTCCTTGTAATATTGTAATGCTGACGGGCTGTAAACTGTAGGCAAGCAGGATTACAAAAACATACCTGGACACCCAGGTGCAAATCCTTCATCTTGACATATCTTGTCTTAGTAGTTTTGAAATTGATCGCCGTCCGAAACCTGCACTTCCAAAACCAACTTCCAGGGGGTTGCCTCGATCATGGACGGATCACACAGATCATCTTCCAGCATGGTCATCATCGGATGCTTCGCACCGTTCGCAGCGAATGCTTCGGTGGTTGGGTCACTTGCTTCGGTTGGAGCGGAAGACAAAGTCAGGGGCCACAGCACTGCAGTGGTCCTCTGTTAAGTTCTAGCTGCTTTGAAACTGCTGGTCTCGGTGCTTGTCACTGGTCTTGGCGGTTGCTGGTTGCGGATGAGTAGCCCATGGAGTTTGTACATGGAACTGCCCACATTGGAATAAGCCAGCCAAAGCTGCAGGTTGGAATAGAACATGCTAGAATGCACAAAAAAGGTTCTGATCGGTTCTGATTCTTCATCAACCAAAGAAATCCAAAGAAATGGTCCCTAACTATAGTCAAGCAAGCGTGTGTTTTCTATGAGTTCCGAATGCCTACCATCGGCCACGCAATTCATAGACTCATCCATTGGGGCATCGTCGGGGCTCAAATACTGTAGCCCCAAAACCTTGAACGCCACGGGTGTGAAAGATGCATGTTTTATATCATTATGTTAATGTTCATGAATGATCCTGCCCAATGTAGGCATATATGGCAGTCCCATGGAGTGTCTGGGAATGTTCATAACATTTCAAAACCCATTGTAGCTCCAAAACCTCCACTTGGGGCCATGAACTGGGGTCAGCCAAGTAGGTCCCGAGCTCTTGGACCAAGTAGGAGACCAAAGACCGGCACAGCTCCATGGTCCTGCCGACAACGGGCGCTCCATCGACATCCGTTCCATGCAACCCTTCCAAGAAACTTCAACAAAACTTCAACACTTGAATGGTTTCAATCGTTTCTTGTGCCATGGTGCTTTCCATGTTGTTTTTTTGTTATTTCCCCTGGATCTCTCTCCATCTGGCTCCGACCCTTTGGTAGAACGGCCGAGCCGTGCCTGTCGGAGTCCTCCGCCTCCTCTAAAACCTCCGAGAGCCCTGGCCTCAGTCGGTGATTGAGGTGGAGGACTCAGCCGGGCACCCCACAAACTCAATCAAACATGTGTAAAGATTGCCACAGGATCTTCAATCTGCACCAAAGCAGACTTGGATTGAAGAAACTTGATGCACAACAAGCACGAGACCCTGAGAACCCAGCCACTCCAGCTTATCAGCAGCCCTGCAAGTGACTTGCCTGCACAAGGCACAGGTGTTAATCTCATCAAGTGATCCACCAATTTAAGAAGCTAGAAGTGACTGCTGCCACTGCAGTACAGAACAATTGAGTGTGAGCTCAAATCGCCTTTTGAAGGATCTATCTTGGGTTCATCGTGTTCATTCTCTGAACCACCCATGGAACAATTCCCGGTACCGGTGACCGGGGGAAAAAACAGAAAAAAACACCTGGCCGTGACAAGCCACTGACATGTTCAACAAGTGATGGGATAAAAAATACCTGGTTGGTGTTTTCAACCCACTTGAAACATATGAGTCAGAGGGTCCAATCATCCCCAAGTAAGGGTTGAACATAAACATATACGAAACGATCACCTAGATACACGATGTTCCTTTTCTTTCCGCATCGGTCGCGAGATGTCGCGAGTCATGTTCTCCTGCACGGATGACTGCCGGGATGGCACTCCCAGGATGAGAAAGCCTGGATTTAGTGCCCCAAATCCAACCACCTCAGACAACTGGCCAGTGTCTTACCGTAGTTCCGCCCAGTGTCTATGAATATCTATGAAGTGCCTGTCAAAAGCTGTTGAATAGAAAACTGTTTGAATAGTAACGTGTATTAGGCCAATAAGCTGATGGGAGTGTTTGTCAGACTCTGTCGTTTCCAAACCCCTTACAGGGGGGCCCCTTACATACAACAACAGAGTTGCGGGCCTGTGGAGCCCCCCATCATTGGACCAATAAGACTTCGGGTGCTGGTTGGTGTCCTGGAATAGATTTATATATATATATATGTTATATGTCTTATATCTCAGTTGGCACCTCCCTACCCATCCAGGCTGGCGCACTCTAAAGGAGGTGCATCGGGCAAGTAGCAATACCTGTAGTAGCCTCAGCACATCAGAGCACGTCAGCACACCCTCAGCATCCCACAGATAACGTTACATATATTTCTCTTCCATCAGGATTCCCCGATTCTTCTGCGCAAAGAGAAGCATCAAACACCTTTGGTCAATTACTTGTAGGGGTCATCGAGCTGGAATCTGGAACTCAACTGAAAATAGAGCTTGAAATCACAGGGATACTGTGACAGCTGTTCTGGCACCCCTGATCTATGTATATCACCGCCACCACTAGCAAAAAGCAAATCACAAGCTTGTTGAGGGAGTGTTTGCGCATCATGACTCAAGCTTGAAACCTCGAAGGACTTTCGGCCATGTCTGGCCCTGCAGAATCCGTGTTCCAGGCCAACTTCACCGCCGCCCAGATCCAAATAGTGCCTCAAGACCCAGGAAAGTTCATAAGGCCGAACAGTGGGAGAAAGCACGATCACTGCAGTGCTTGCTGTGGGAAAAAAAGGCTCCGCCGTGATTGCAACGCTCAAGCAACGCTTCAATTCCCCATAGAAGCAGAATGTATATAGAATGTCATCCCAAACCAACATTTGCTGGGATAAGTAGAGTTGTGGTCTATCCTAATGCCTGTAACAGCGGACGATGATGGTCAGTAAAGGCCTTGTTCAAAAAATAGTTATAATTGTTTACTGACTGTTGTTACAGGTAATGGGACAACCCCAAGTAGTAATGGGACAACCCCAAGTAGAGTCACAATGTGAGTAACATCATGTAACATCTGTTTGGCCAACCGTGACTGACTGTGGGTGAGGGAAGGTTTCATCCCTTGATGTAACAGGAAGCAACAGAACCGTACTAGAATCTAGAAGCTTAAGAAGGGCGTATATTTTAGCATGGATGGGAGGGGGCAAACTGGGACAATCACGCTGCTGGTGATTGTAAGAAGCCAGCGAAAGTCTTCACAAACTCCCTGTTATCTCAAACCCTCCATGTCTGCTCAATCAGTTTAAAAATAGTATTACTTACACTATCACTTACTGTACTTCCATAATTAATCTGGTAATCTTGGACAAGTCAGCTACAAAATGATTCTTTACCCCTTCTCACCACTGAGTCTCCACGCGTCTCTGGACCCTCCAAGACAGTGGGATGTGCAAGGCGCCTCGTCTCCGTCTTCTCGCTTTGTTTCAAGGAAGTTTTCTGGTATCTCCAAACTAGGTGAGTAAAGTCAGCAGATAGCTGAGGAAGGTATATGCCAGGGATATACTAGGTATATATTATCTATTTGTCCTATGCATGGACCTAGTATAGGCCATGAACACTGAACAGCTCAACTGGAGAAGAAGAACTGAGAAGACTGTTTTCCTCATGCAGGAGTCCACGAGCAACGTTCAACTCACACTGCTTTGCAGTGTTAGCGTTTGGCCTTTTTGGCCTTGGGGCTGTGTCTCTTATGTTTATTATCTTTTTTCTTGTCTTTTTTTCTTGTCTTTTTTCTTGTCTTTCTGAGCATGAATATGTCGTTTCTTCCTCCTCAAGGGTGAATCAGTCACAATGCTGTCAGCATCACTAGGGCTGTCCAGATTCATGTCAAACAACTCGTCCAGCCCTGGATTCGGATGGTCTCGCGAGCCACTGGCTGCGGCAGGTTCATCTCCTGAATCCACTGCAGCAGCATCATCTGAACCTGAAGTGTTGAAGTGACTGCACATATTAATATTACATATGTTCAGAATTAAATAAAATAAATACATTAAACAAATGAATTTGAAACAAACAACTAATGGCAATAATTGGCTAAGAAACCTTCTTCCTTGTTCTGACACGCAAATGCTTCTGCAAGCGCTGTTTCAACCCGTGCTGGATCTGGCTTTTGGCTGCAATCCTTGGATTGGACTGCTGCAAGAATTGAATTAAAATAGTATGAACTTTCATCAATATATGTATAACAAACAAAAAATGACCAATGCACATAGCTCTGCCCAGTGTCTCTTCCCTTCTCCTCATGGTTGCGCCAAAGAAACTCTAAACAATAGTTTAGAGCAGACAGTTTGCTTCGTGCGTTGTCTTGCCCTTGGTCATCACCACTCTTCTTCCACTTCATGGATACTGACTTTGTAGGTCTCCCTGCTGGATAGTAAGCTTCAAACGATGATAAACCCACATCCATGCAAAGCACACATTGCTTCCATTGAGGTCGTAAATTCTTGATCGCCTCCGGCGTAGAGTGCTCTCGTTCGCCTCTCACTCCCACCTTCCTGGTAACCTCTGCTTTGAATTTCTCGGACATCATTGCCTTGTCCACACTGTTTCTCAGAGATTCAAAATCAGCTTTGACTTCTTCGTGAGGCATTGCATTCAGCGCCTGATCGATGATTTCGTTTGGCACAACCTCTTTGACTTTGGCCTTGCCCATCAATTCCACTAACATTTCCATTTTCTCATCAGCAGATTTTTCAGGAAAGACGTGGAGTATCAGGCTCCATAGCAATGACCTCTTGCCAATGGACTTCTCCTGAATCTTGACAATCTTGGCTTTAGTGCGGGCAACCAAGAGCTTCAAGCGTTCGTCTGTGATACCAACCAATGCTCCGTTGCAGAGCATATAGCGAAGAAGAGATTCTGGTGATTCTGTTTGCCGAAGTAGGATGCCATGATGTCGATGTCCACGCGGAAGGTCATCAGGACTGCCTCAGTCTCAATAGAATTGTACAGTTAGAGGTTTACTTACTGCAAAGCAAGTTAAATGTCATTAGTAATCGTCTGATTCAAAATTTAATTTTGACTCATTGACCATATTGTATACCAATCAATAAAACAAACTAATACATAGCTGTTGGAGAAGAAGCCCAGTGACAGAAGCTGAATGGGATGCCTGCAAACTCTTCATTTTTGTCTGTCCGCTGTAGCCCACTCAGTCCTGTGACAATCAGAGTCTGAAGATTTGCAATCGCAGAGTAGTGATCATCACAAGCCGGAGACTTCCAGTACGCAATGGAACCGTCCTGCAAATCAACCTTCTCTAATCTCCACCCCAAGCAAACATATTCTTGGAACCCAAGGCTGACAAAGCACTGATTGTCTGCTTTCCGCTGGAACAATTGCCCACGTTGCAGCAAACATGAAAGCCACATATCGCCGAGCCCAGCAAAGCAGAAATCGCGCGAGTGCTTGAGTGCCAGATATGCTGCGACTGCTCTCTCTTCAGCCTCTGTTCCGGCTGGCTTCACTTCCTCAATGACGGGCCAACTGTCATGCGAAACCAAAGTGAGTCAGGCTGAAAAAAGATCCTAAGTACAGTAAATACAAATAAATACAAATAGTTCAAAACAAATCCTGCAGAGGTAAACAAACCAGCTCTTAGATTGTTTCAAAAGTGGTTGAACTTTTTAAGCAAATTGTCATGTTGAACAAAGCCTGGCAACATCATCTGGTTGCGTGCTCGACGCATCTTGTTTGATCAACCTAATGATCTTGCTGACCAACTCTGAAGATTTTGCTGATGCTTCACGTTCTTTCCTTGGCTTGAAATCATCCACGGTGATTTTCTGAGTGTGTCCGTAGGCAGCAAGATCACCCGGCATCAACCTCAGTCTTTCACACGGCAACGAGTCCAATCGCTTTGATTCCGCTGCGCAATACATGGCCCTCGTGAGCCTCATGTCCTTGCGCCTGTTTGCACGTGAAGCATTGTTCAGCTCTTGCAAAATGTCTTCCTGGCTGTGTTTTGTGGTTGAAGGCCCGCAAAACATTCGCCAAACAAATCTCCAGATTGAGCTTCTCAGCCAATTGCACGCACGACATTTCGCAATGATGAGTCGCACCAGCTGCAAGCGTGGCCACCACAATTGGTCGAGTGCTTGCTTCAGAGCCTTGATTGAAAAGTAGTAGTCGATTCATTGACAATGGCTAGGTAATAACTATATAATATATATATATATTACACTATATAGTAATGGTCAGAAGAAAACTATTGGTCAAAGCCTCAGCAACAACCCTATCATCATTCATCGGGTTCTCGAAAGCCTCATCTGCCTCGTAAATCTTGGACATCAAAACAAACCGATCCATGCAATCTCGTGATCTGCCCTGATCCTCATCCAACAATCCACAGAGAGCCTCTGGCAAAGTGTGAGTGAAGCCTAGCATATACCAGGCCCTCTCCGCCGCAATGCTTACAGTCAATGTCCAAAATGCAGCAATGTTGGAAAGGCGGCCTTCTGGTGAAACTGCTTCTCCACTGCACTCGGTGCGACGAAGGACTGTTACGTGGTGCAGCTGGGAGAATAGTGTAGCAATTTCTGAGCGTACCCAAGCCATATTGGATCGTTCTGCTTGGTATTGAATGTTTTGGCTGCAGTCGGTGGAGCAATGTAGGGATTGCAAATGAGAAGCAAAGATTGGACTCTGCACATAGTCCACCCTCAGTCAAACAGTGACTCCAGTGACAGCGAGTCAGTCATTATGGTGGCGGTTTTTAAATTTGAATCTTAAAAAAATATATAATAATTTGTTTGTTTGATTTCAGTTAAACATTCAAAGATAGCCCCGCCAATCTTGCTAAAACAGCCAAGACGCATTCGTCCTTTGATTTGCAAATCAAACATCTGCAGAATTACGGTTGATAGCTGCAAATTGTTCATGTTTGCAGTGTACGCAGCACGCTTGATTGCCTTGATGTCAAAATTCTCATCGTCGTCCTCCAATCCAATGTGTTTGAACACTATGAATCAGAGATTAGATCAAACGACCCGGTGTAGATGAATCTATTGACTGATTAAACTTCTGATAGTTTTTTTCTGAAGACCCATGACCAGCAGCTCCTGCACAACATTGTCAACAGAGGAACGATCCTTGCCTTTCAAGTCTCCGCAAAGTTGGTTTAACTTGAGGTCAGTTGTCCAGGTGGAATCCAGGCCACCATGTGTACTCTGCCGGCTTGGGTCATTCACTGTGTCGATCGATATCTCAGGCAGTTCTGAGTCAGACCCTGACAAAGTTAACCCACGAAAGCGGACAAGCCAAGAAAACCACCTTCGCTGAGTGACCTCAGAAGCCAAAGGCTCCACACAGAAAAACGGGCGCTTGACTTAACAAACACCTTTGCTTTCTCAGTGAGTGAAGTCAGTAGTGTGTAATCGAAAGAAATGAATATCATTACCAATGAATTCAAGAAGCTCGGTCTTGGGGTCTGATAGCTTGTGCTGCAGCATCCAGAAAGAGACTGTGCAATTCGCGATCGCTTGGGCGACTACGCAAGTTGAAGTCCCTGACTAAGTTGTCTGAAAATTCCAGGAATTCATCGCTATCTGGGCCGAACACTTCCTCAAAGAGCATCATCGCCTTTGCTCGTGCGTGAACAAAGCTCTCATCTTGGAATGCACCGCCGCGGTTGACATTCATAGGCGTTTTCAAGGTTGGCACAAGACCTGACTGTCGGCCGGTCGCGCATTGCATCACATGAATGAACTAACACAGAAGGCTAGCAAATAAGATTTCAGAACAATTGCAAAAAAGCAAAGCATCTGGAATCTGAAACAAGGCGAAACACTGGCAAACCCTGCTGCATTCATTCCTTTGGTGATGCAGTTGCTGTCCATGTGTAATGAGTCGCCCCGAAGTGCCCCGAGAATCTTGCTCTTGTACAAAAGCCAGTGGACGTTTTTCGTCCTGAATGAACAGTGAGAAGCAAGAGTGTGCTTTGACAGCGGCTTGATTTTTTAACGACTAAGATGATACTGATTTGCAAGGATGGAAGAAGAACTTACAAAATGAAAACACCAATTGAATCAAGAAGAAGCTCTGTGAACCTTCGCGGTCTGCAAAGAAAATAATGAAACGTTCCTTCTCCAAGTCCACATCTCTCAAAGCCGTTGGGTCCATGGCCAGCGGATCCAGATCAGAGAACTTGCTTTGGAACATGTCCAGGCTAAGATTGAATTCTCCCAAGCAAGAATCTAGTGTCAGGAGCGCATCAATAGGAGCTCTCTTCTTTGCTTGATGTCCTCTTCGTGCCTTTTTGTTTGCTGATGCTGCTGCAGCGGAATTGGTCCGAGCTTTGGCCTGAAGGAATGGAGGAAAGAGACCCCCATCTGATTGAACTCGCTGAAGTCCAATATGTTTAATGAAACAACTCATTCATTGATTGGTTGACTGAGCAAGATTAATAATATTCGCTAACAGACTTGTCCACTTAATATACTAATTGTTATGTTATCTATCATTGCTGCGCCGTCAGAATGCAAGCAAAGGACTACCCTCATCATGATGTCGAGCTTGTCGCTGTGTTGCAAACCCTCCCCAGCATGCTCAGTCAGCGGAAGTGAGTCCACCACCTGCCAGCTTGCAAGAGGAAGTTGGTCAGGCTACTTCAACCAGTTGAAATTTGATGACAGTGAGACCCTGTTGACTCTGATTTCAATGTAACTAGGGAACCGAGCACCGTAAATATAACTACTTTACCACCCGTCAGACAGAGTTCTCAGTACCACTGACAAAGTCCTCAGTTCCTAGACTACATGACCTGAAGACTGAATCACTGAATCAATCAATGGCTGTCCAGTTCACACAAAGCGGGTAAGTAGAAGTCTGCGTTTTTTTAAAGCTTGTCATTGTCTCTGAGACTCAGGCATCGTGTCGTCGATATATAATGCTAGCTTAGCTAGAAACCGACTCCGTCAACACACTGAGTGATTCCAAAAGTCAGTCAGGCAGTGACTGAGTCTGGCCGCCGATACTCTAAGGCTGGCTAAGAGTCATTTGACTGCTCAGCAACGAGTGCAATTCAAGATGTTCATCGGCGGCACTGCCAACTGACAAATTCCATTACTCAGTCAAAATTCTGTAGCAAACTAAGACGGAGTCAGGTCAATCTAATGACATTGAGTCCATTTGTCGAATGGTGTCAGACAAATTCACAAACTGCCCCTGCTCACAACTACTGTCATTGACAGTTGGTGAGGTCAAGAACAACACCTGACGCCGATTCCAAGAGTCGGCATCTGTGCAAAAATTGCCCCGACGTGGAGAACCAGGTCCTTCAATATCTGGCCACCAAACAATAGTCTTCGGGGTCTGCAGCATTTCAGTAGCCTCGCACCTCTTTGGGTCTAACATCCCAAACGTAGAAGCTTCCGCGGGCGGCTCGCGTTCAGGCTCACTTGAACCCGCTGGAGAGTCATGTGAATCTGACTCCGAATCTGATTCAGGCGGGTTTGCCAGCAGGAATTCTGTCCGGCCATGGGACGGCAAAGTGCCATTCGATGAAAGTTTCCGCTTCTTGTTTCCACTCTGGTGGCAGCGCCAAATGCGCATTGCTTTGTTTTCATCACTGAGGACCAGATCCATCCATCCCTGCCCCAAGCGAGGGTTTGCCACCATTGTTCCACAGGCACAATTCAAAGCAGGCAGGCGTAACTACAGAAACACTGATTCCTGGTACAAAAGTCTGATCAGGGATGATCACAGATTGAACCAAGATTGATTGATGTGTTCAGACCCTTGCCAACAGAATGAACCGCTATGACTGACTGACAGGCGTCTCCGTGAATACTACTTACTACTTATTAAAATAAATATAATGGTTCCTCATCATAGTGAGGTCAAGTGATTAGCTCTTTTTGGACTCTGAGGCGCTCGTTTTTCCTTCCTAGACTCAACAGTGACAGTGGCAATCTGTGCGGCTGATGAGAAAACATAACAGTTCAATAGAAAATTACTGTGTCATACTCAGTTCAACACAATGTTTAACAGATGATGACCTTGACTGACGGATGAAAAAGGGTAGTACGGTAGTAATTCAGCATACTGCCACCTGTCTGTCAAGCCTGATCATTTACATTGACAATCGAATCACCTCTTCTCAGTCGATTGGAACAAAAGGGACATCGTCCAGTCTAAATCAAATACAAACATACAGTGGAAAACATAAGTGTTTGTTGGGTATTAATTCATTCATGGTTCTAATCTAAAATTACTAAAGTGAACCAGTTCAGCTGGACTAATGTCCGCCGGAGTCAATGACTCAGCAGCTGTGACACGGGAACTAACCAGCAGCTGAGTTCATTGAGACAACTTTTCACAGCACAAAAACACTGACATTCACAGCACCGAGAATCACATGTTTAGTCCAGGATTGCATTGAGTCAAACACAACAAATAATGATGCAAAGTAAGTATATAGTATACCGGCTGTACAATGGCTGTGGTGTCATCACGTGTGCCTGTGAGACCCAATGATGATACTGTCACTACTGTGTGCTAGCTAGATTATCTAAACTCTCCAAATAACCAGATGGTAACCCTGGTATCAGATTCACGACTTCTTGGTACTTGTCGTCGTTCTAAAACTAAAGTATTTGAAAGACTGTCCGTTTGACAAGCAACAAACTCACAACACCAACAAATGACATGTTTGCCGCACACAAGCTCATCTCCCGCTCAGACAGGGCCAGGCTGTTGGCGGAGCCAGCAGCAGCAGCAGTGCTGCATGCAGCCAGCCTGTGCAGCAAATGAATAAGCTTGGCTTGACCTTGTCATACTGGAGTCCAAGGGATTAAGAGTTTAGAATGCCTCACAATGAATACTGCTTCTGATTGTCGTTCAATTCAAAAGATTAGGAACTACGTGACATACATCAACCAGGCCTGTTTGACTGATTCACAATGAAGAGAAGTATTACTGCTTCTTCCTGCGAATGAACAAAGACAATAAAAGAATCTAAATATTTGAGGTGAGAGAGAAATAACGGCTTCAAACAGAGCTGACAGAATAACAAAAACTAAAAATCATTTGGAGAAACAGTATTGAAATTTCTCAATCTAGATTTTCCAGTGTTCCCAAACACAAAAAATATATCAAAGTGAAATCATGTACAGGGTAGCTAATATATACTGACTAGAGCTGTATATGCCTAGCATATGCATGGCATATACAGCTCCCTGGCACTACATAGCTGTATATACCTAGCATATGCTAGGCATATACTGCCCTGGATTGATCGTATCAATATATACATATATATATATTGTTTAGATATTTTGAACATTAGTCGTTAGTAGTTTCAACCCAGCCCAGTCCTGGCTCTTTTAGGTTCTGGTTTTGCCTCCGATTTGGCATTTGCTGATGCCATTTTCAAAGCAGCCTCAATCGATCCTGCTTTGACCACTGGCATTGGTTCAGATGCGACTGGCTCACCTTCAACGGGAGAAATTCCATCTGAGGGTGCACTGGGCGCGGTAACGGCAGCATAGCGTTCTCCGGACTGAGCGACTGGAGCACCTGATGACAGCAGCTGTGGAGATAGGTTGGGTTTGTCAGCTTACTGGCCAGCCTGGAATGATTCCAGATTTGAGCTTAGCGTCTCATTCTCCTTCTGCAGATTCTGGATAGTCACACCTCTTGCAGACAAATCAGCCTCCAAGTTGGAATTGCTCTCTTGTAAGCGCGATATGGTTGTGTCCCTGTCAGCCAAAGCAGCTTTCAATGTGCTGATTTCATCAGCATGAGTTGCCAAATCTGCCTTCGCTGTCTCAGCCTCTCTCTGGAATTCAGCTTTTGAACGAGTCAAATCTTGAATTTCTGAATCCCGTTGCGTCACAAGGTTCCTCAGCGATTCCTTCTCCTTCACAAGGTCGCTATCGCTGAGAACTTTATCCTCCAAACGAGAATTCAAGGTGGCAATGGTTGAATCTCGCTCTTGCAGAGTGCTCTTCAACGTTGTATTCTCCAGCTGACATTGTTCAGTCAACTGTTGCTGATCATGGAACATGCCCTTCAGATCTACAATCTCACGGTGAGCCCGGTCATTTTCAGCTTTGTTTTGCTGAAGCTCCAGATTCAAATTGAGGATCTCTTGCGCCTGAGAGTCAATCTGGACTTGCAAGGTTTGCTTGTCAGTGGACTCGGGAACCCCAGTCGACTGCGTTGCAGGGGAAGCGTCCTGGCCAGTCAGAGTCAGTGAGTGTGGCAGTAGTAAAGTAGTTAGTAAGTTGGTGATGATAATAATATTATATACCTCAGTCAGTCTAAACAATTACGAATAAATAGGCAATGACCCATATATTTGACCATTTGCCCTGAGTGACTCAGTGACTGACTGAGTCCTTGGAGTTGGAGTCATTATTGACCTTGCGTCTCTTGGCAGGGTGATCATCTGGAGTATCATCATTAAATAGCTCCGCCACCTGACTGTCTGAGAAGTAGAATTTGTGCAATGAATCATGTTAAATATTAGATTAATTAATTGAAAAAATAATATACAAAAGTTTCAATTGCTTTATCACAGTGACCCAAAATACCAAGTTCTTCTCTTCAGCAACTGAAAATTCCATGCCCTCTGGACGAATATATTCGCAATGAGTCTCTGAACAAATCTCACCAATCCAGGCGTGCGAAGAGCGAGGAAGCCAGCGAGATACATTGTCCCGCTTTCTGTAAGCAAAGTAGCGGCCAGGTGTCTTCTTTGACTCATGCAATTCAACCTTAATGATTCATTGATTGATTCATTAAAATAAACCGTAGTAGGCGGGCTGAATAAATCATATTAAATAATTACAAAAACAGTACATATTGATAAATAAAATACACATGTCCTGTCCTAGGTCAATCAGTCAGGCAACTTCAGGTTCAGGTTGCTCATCATCTTCACCCGGCTCTTGAATCTCGTCCTCCTCTGGCTCTGGCGGGTCTGGTGGTCCAGACTCATCTGATTTCCGTGATCCTCCGAATGAGTTGCCATCCTTGACTCTCAGCAACAGCACTTTCAAACACTAACTAAGTTTGTCTCGTTGAATTGTTAGTTTAGTTCTGAGTCTGACGTTTTTTCAACACGGTACTGTACTGTTGTAAAGTCAGACCAAAGGAAATTGAAATAATAAATAGGTTTTCACTTGAAGCTGAGGTTCCCGTTTAGGGGGAGGCGGGGGCAGCATAGGCATACGGCCAGACTTGGCAGTATGAGGTTGTTGAATTGGAGCAGCACCTCCAGCTACACTGCTAGCAGGGCTTGTTGGAGTTGGACTCGCCGGTGGCTGAGCAACGTCGGCCATGAAAGTCTTCACCCAAATTCCTTGCGACCCGTTGCTGATGTAGTAATCGCCAGTGTCCCTGAGACAATGTCGGCATGTGTTTAATGGTTTAATGGAAAGATGATTTCCGCATTTCAGCAACTCAACACTCAGGGCTTTCAAAAGAATAAAGCATCCCGAATGCAACGCCAAAGCTACTCTGCTTGCTCCAATGTCCATTCACTGCCCTCTGGGCACCATTTCGAGCGCGCACCCACATAGAGAGCTTGCTTGAGACCATCAGGAGTCTTCATCAGCCTGGGTTCTGATTCCTCCTGGTCTACTTCACACTTACCTCTTTGCTTCATGATGTTCAGAATCTCAGTGATTGGTAAATTGAAGTGCTCTTCATTGCGCGTTGACCGCCGCTTGTGAAAGCCGGCCATGTTGCTGTACCACACATCGCCTGACTGTCTGTCAGAGAGAGGTTGATTAATTATAATATAATGGGGTGCCACTACTACTTACTAATCTTAAAGAAATCAAAATTGAATAGGCCAAAGCATGAATGCAACAAATTGTTTCGGGCAAGTTGCGAAACTTGGTGCCCAGTGGTTCATTGCCATCCAAACCCGTCACATACTCAACGACGACCAAAAGGTGCTCTTTCGAGTAACCCTTGAGCAAGGGGCTGGAACCTTCTTGGTCATTGAACTTGAACAGCAGCGCATGCAGATCGTGAAGGCCAACATCCCTGATCTTTGTCCATTTCGCTGGGAAAACGTTGCCAGCCGGCGCTTTTGCTCGGGCATCTTGATCCTTTCCACGCTGCTTGGGCACAGGCCCTCGAGATCCTGGTGTACCTCAGTCATGAATTCTGAATTCTTACCCATCTCATTTATAATATAGTTTAAGAATAATAACTAAGATTCATAAGTCAACACTACTACTCGAATTTAAACCAGGACCTCATGATAATATGTCATAGGTAATGAATCAATCAAGGAAAAATTCAAGCGTAGGCAAGTCTAAGACGCTGCCCTGCATACGTTGACGGGCTGGGGGCGGCGGAGCCGCAGCCAGATTGAAGGCTCCTGGCGGCATTGCAGGTGCTACCTGAAACGGCACCATCTGACCAATGGAAGGAGGGGGTAGTGGCGGCGGATGCCCAGCCATGGACCCTACTGCTAGTACCCAAATGAGCGCGAACAACTCCTCAGCTTCAAAGCCAGAGTCCTGCAGCCTGAAAATATGAATTGAATCAGTGGACCTGTCAATAACTTACTTCTTGACTTGACTTGACCACACGTCTGACATGAATGAATCAATCAATGACAACAAAAAGACACTTCTGCATATGGATGCAGCGCATGC